TTTTAAGGCATGAAGAACTTGAAGAAGGAAAAAACTTTTAAATATGTCATTTTGCTGATCAATGATAATTTTGATTCGAAATCGAATCAAGTCGCAAGCTTTTGAATAGAAATCGAATTGAAATTTTTGTCAATCCCCAGCCCTAGTTTAAACAATACTTTCACAACACTACATTGTTTCAAAACAGCTTTTTTTTTATTAATAAACAGGAAGATAACAGTGTTAATGTTGTAAAATGCATCAATTATGAAACCAATTCAATTGCAGCAAGGAACCATAGATTGTATGGGAAAAAACAGTGTGAACATTCTTCAAAATGTCTCCTTTTGTGGAGGAAAGAAGCTCATATGTGTTTAGAGCACATGAGGGTGAGTAAATGATGATCTGTGTGTGAATCCTCCTGTCAGGAGCGTTTGCATTACAGCATAACCACAGAATACAGTTGACAGGTTCTGGAAGAGACATGTTTCTGACGGCGTGCTCGAGTCCTCGTGTGTGTGGCTCTGCCAGAGACCCGTGAACTTACACGCATCCAGACACAATTCATTATGCATGAGACTCACTGAGGAACCACGAGCCAACAGCGTGTAAAAGGTTACAAGTGTGTGTTTGTGTCTGTGCTTTTGACGTCTCCTGAAATAAATATGTGGCATTTGCACAAGTAAAACTGACCACACTGCTAATGTGTTGTGGGTGGTTGCCAGGGTGTTGCTAAGACTTTGCTATGCAGCTGCTTAGGCATTGTGGGTGGTTGTTAGGGCGTTGCTAAGCAGTTTATGAGGGTGGAGTTGCTAGGGTGTTGCGGGTGGTTGCCAGGACATTGCCATGCAGTTGCTAAGACTTTGCTATGCAGTTGCTTGGGTATTGTGAGTGGTTGCTAGGGCGTTGCTAAGCAGGTTTTCGAGGGTGTTGTAAGTGGTAACCAGGGTGTTGCTCTGCAGTTGCTAGGGCATTGTAGGTGATTGCCAGGATATTACTATGCAGTTGCTAGAGCATCGCTTTCCAGCTGGTAGGGCAGTTACTATGCAGTTACTTAAGAGTTGCTATGCAGTTGCAAGGGCATTGTGGGTGGTTGCCAGGGTGTTGTTATGCAGTTGCTAGGGCATTGCAGGTGGTTGCCAGGGCATTGCTATGCAGTTACTAGAGCATCGCTTTGCAGCTGGTAGGGCAGTTACTATGCAGTTACTTAAGAGTTGCTATGCAGTTGCAAGGGCATTGTGGGTGGTTGCCAGGGTGTTGTTATGCAGTTGCTAGGGCATTGTGGGTGGTTGCCAGGGCATTGCTATGCAGTTGCTAGAGCATTGCTTTGCAGCTGGTAGGGCATGGTGGGGGTTGCCAGGATGTTGCTATGCAGTTGCTAGGGTTGTGTGGGTGGTTGCCAGGGTGTTACTTTGCAGTTGCTAAGTCCAATTCAAAATATATAATTTGATATTCTGCTCTGTACGTGTGTGTGTGCGTGTGTGTGCGTGTGTGTGCGCGTGTGTGTGTGTGTGTGTGTGTGTGTGTGTGTGTGTTTTGAGTGTGTGTGTGTGTTTTGAGCACTTCTTGCGTTGCTTTTGCCTCTTCACGATGACTCGCTTGGTTTAGTCCTCAGTTGTAAGTCGCTTTGGATAAAAGCGTCTGCTAAATGACTAAATGTAAATGTAAATGTAATGTGTGTGTGTGAAATTGTAGGTTTTACATTTGGGCATTAGCAGAACAATTTCAACAAGCCACAGTTATTGTTCATGTAGCACAAACAGTGCAGAATGAGGAATGAGTTCAATACTTAGTGTTAGGGGTATGTTCAAAACACTAACAATAAATAGCTGGTATTTATTGTTATAGTGATGCTTGACTTAACCAACACTAAATGTATGCTCAGTTCTGCTCAGTTAAACCAGCTCTACGCTCCACTGCAGAAAGTCCAGTATGCAGATGGTCAGCAGAATAAACCAATCAATACAGCCGAGCGTTTAAACCCAGAACAGCAGCGTTTGTTAAAGAAACATCACGTCCACATCTCTTCATCAGCTCCTCATCCATGATGAAGGACTTCACAGCAAATACAGCCTGAGCTCTGAGCAAACAGACACTGTCTCACAAACACTGACAAACACGTCTTATAAGGTCATGAACACACAATTCAGAATGAAGCTCGAAGTTTTCCGATCAAATCTGACATTTCTATGTACAGTAAAATGAGGCTCAACATGGCTAAATTTGGTGTAGGATAAGGATTCATGTAAAACATTGAATTAAATGTGAAATTTTGAAGTAGAAAGACTGAAATAGTGTTTTATTGTAAAACATTGTCCAAACATCTTTGTTCTATAATACTTATTAACAGTGTACTGGCATTTTTGAACTAAAGATTTAAAATAGGATTTCTTTTTTTTTTACTTTCAATATCAGCCAAATCAGAGTAATTATGATATTTTTAAAAACTCCAGTCATAATTCACCCCAAAATATTTTATTTTATTTCACATAAAGGATTTTTGTTATTTGTGCCATTAAGTTGTTATGATTTTGTAGATTGTCTCAAAATCATATGATATGATTTAAGACAGTTAAGCACATTTTTTTTCAGAAATTCTCATTGAAATAATGCAAATGTAAATATACAGTCTAATTACTTTAACAATACAATAACAAAAACCATTCAGTCTGGATGTTTTAATCTTGATATAAATGCAGCCCAACAAATACTACCATCATGATTTGCTAAATATTTAAAAATATATCATAAAATATAATAATATCATAATTGCATTACGGCAATGAGAATTAGAGGATGTTTAAATGTCATGAAAATAATGACATTTAATAATGTCACAATTCTGTAATGTCAGTCTCAATGGTCTCTCTTGAGAGAGAGAGAGAGAGAGAGAGAGAGAGAGAGAGAGAGAGAGAGAGAGAGAGAGAGAGAGAGAGAGAGAGAGAAGAGAGAGAGAGAGAGAGAGAGAGAGAGAGAGAGAGAGAGAGAGAGAGAGAGAGAGAGAGAGAGAGAGAGAGAGAGAGGTGAGTGTCATGAAGTGGACATACTGATGGATAAGAGCCTCTGATATGGCATTGAGCTGCTTTTTGAACAGACGGGGGGTTTAAGAGGACAAAGACAGCTTCAGGAGGAGAGAAAGAGAGAGAAACCACTGTCTTCATTTTATATATTTTAATATGCATAAAGGGGTGTAACAATATGTATCGTGGATAGTTTACCCAAAATAAAAATCACTGTGAGATTTTTTTTTTTTTTTAGTTTTAGTGTCAGTACTACATAAACTACTATATATAATGTTGAATATAATGTATATAATAATGCAATGGGGGAATATTTGTGGGTCTGATAATGACAAATATCTTATATATCTAGTCAGTGAAAGAGTGCAAGCATATTCATCTAAAATAACTCTGTATTTTCAGAATCATGAATATTGTTATTCTGGTGTCTCTATTGTCCTGTGCTTTGGGTTTCAGCACCAAGTCCAAGACTATTCATTTACACACACAATGTAACATCAAATTTAGCATTTTAATCAACAGTTCATTTTTTGTTAACCTTTTATCATATGTCTTGGAGTATCGCAATAATCGTGATATGTATCGAATCGTGACATGAGGGCATCGTTACACCCCTATTAAACTGCTACAATTTAAGTCTGGATATGTGAGGAAAAGAGAGAGGAAAGGGGGTTCGTATTGCATCGATCAGTCGCTGAAACACAAAAGCTGATTAGATTGATTCGTGAACTATACATAACACCCGACCTCGAGCCCAGATCACCCTGACCCGTTCACCCTCGGCTCCCTTCACCCCTAAAACGCCATCTCATTATCATACGCCAATACATCCATCAGCATTAATCCTCTTATTTTCACCCTAACCTCTCATTGTGGTCTTCTAAAGCTGAGCGTTTGGGCTCAGAAAATCAGACAATCCCGAAGGAAACACTGCTGGAGAATCCCGTGATTATGATGTCAGTGTGTCGCGAGGGTCTGAAGAGCTTCTCATGGCCGACGGGACCTTTTCATCTCCAGCAACTTCAGTAAAGCTGCCCGAGAGAACGAGATCTTCGCCTGTCCAACACACTTACACCGACACTGAGAGCCCGCTTCTTCTATACAGGAGCATTCATAAGCAGATTACAGATGAAAACAGCTGCATGAATCCCTGATCTGAGACAAGCAGTCGCTGCCTTAAGGAACCATCAGATCTTTCACTACTGTGCTGTATCAAAACATGCATGACTTGAATTAAACATTACAAAGGGAAGCATGCGACTCTCAATGCAAATGTGCGATTTTGACATTTCTCATAACTTTTACTGTATTGTGTATTGCTCTATCCTTCTATATTATTACATTTGCATTCATGCATTTAGTAGTTCACTTTTCACTGCTGTATCAAAACACATTCATGACTTGAATTAAACATTACAAAGCGAAGCACATTTGATGTATTTTTATGCTGCATCACTTGCTTTGATTTTAAACATTTACATGCACACCACATGCAAATGTGCGATTTGGACATTTCTTAAAACTTGCACTGTATTGTCCTATCCTATTCTGCATTACTAGACTATATTACTACATTTGCATTCACGCATTTAGCAGTCACTTTTATCCAAAGCAACTTACACAAGATCTCATACTTGAGAGCCAAGATATGATCAAATGCATACAATGTGTTTTTATTTTAATACAAGCATCTGCTTAAATGATCTGCACATCATTTAAGAGTTTCTAGTGACACAAAGAACGCACTAATAACATTCATTAGACATGAAAAGATCATATGTGCAGAACCAGATTTCCACATTCACACATCAAATCATGCAAGCGGAATTACAAGCATGCCTGGCAGAGATTACAGACATCCAGAGGGTTACATCGGATTTGAAATCAGACATCCACCTAACCCGCGAGTAATATGATAACGATTCAAGGACCCGATTAATGCGCTAATGCTTTAACACGCAAGCAATGTGAGATTATGATATGAAGTGTGTGTCCTCTTACCTGGAGTTGTTAAAGTTGTCACGAGACCTCACCGGCTGAATGCAGGAAGATCAGCTGAGCAGAACCGATGGAGAAAGAGTCTACCTCATCCGAGTCTGCTGGAACTTCAGTCACAGCGAATGAATTGAACTCCACCAATGAAGCTGTGAACGCTCTTGAACAGTTAAAGAAGCCGGATCCGCGGACGAGCACGAGCACGCGCACACTGACGTCGGTCTCGCGCCTCCTCCGTCTACTGGAGATCAGAAACAAAAGGGTGTTGAAGAAAAAGAGGAGAAGAGCACTCACAAACCCCCCTCCCGAACCCGAGAGAGAGAGAGAGCGAGAGAGAGAGAGCAGCAGTCACAGCTGAATAGAGCTCATGGGAGAATACGTCAATACCTACATCATGATCATTTTTAGCCTGGGAAAACCCAGACAACTTCCGGCAAATTTAGATTTGCTCTGAAAGTTAGTCTGGCAAAGAGCTCATTCAAGCCCATTTCCAATCCGCCGAAATCGCGGCACCAATCAGAAACGTTGGGGCGGGCTTTACACGATGACGACAGCGCTGGGATTTTGAAGCAGATTTTGTAGCCTACATTACAAAGATGGATGCCGCCGTCGAACATCACTCGTTCCAATCAGCTATCGCGTCTGTTTTAAGCGATTTGAACGTTTCCTTTTAGTTAAAAACCGAGCAAAGAACAACACTCGGAGATGTGTCTCCGCCGCTCTGCATACGTCATCTCCTTCATCGCTCTGATTGGGTTTAGGTCTATCCGCGACGTCCGTTGGTGACGCCCCTCTGGAAATGATTTGTCTATGACGCTTTGCCAGACCATAACTCAGTTAAAACTGACAATGGTCTGGTTTTAACCAGGCTAGATCATTTTAGGTTTCTATTGCATTTTAGATTAGCTAAATATTTTCGCAGCAGACAAGGTTCTTTATTGGAGTCTATGGTTCCAACTTCCATGAAGAACATTTAACATTTAATTCCATTAAACAAAAGGTTTCTTCATTGGTTCTTTAGTTCACTGAAAGGTTCTTCGGGAACCAAAAGTCATTATTCTATGCAAGGCATCGCTGTGAAACCCCCTTTTTTTGGAGCTTTATTTTTAAGAGCAGCCTAGAATACAGCGCACTATGAAAATGTTTTGTCAAATAATCTGGTTTAATAAGCGTAAAATAGCAAATAAGTAAGGAATTATTGACGACGGGACGGGCCGTTGAATTATTCACCCGTAGAATCGGGGTGTGCATTATTTTCCAATGATTCAACAGGACCGGAGTCAATTATTCAGCTTATACTACGGTTACCATACCTCAAAACATTGTTCAGACGATGTATTTCAAGACATTTTTTAATTTTATTTTTTATTTAAAACGCTCTTGTGTGTATGACTAATTTCTTACGCATCTCATCCCACGCCTCCGTTGCTAATTTGTTGCTAATTACAAAATGTCATTTTAGAGCTTGTAACGTAAGCAGAGTCATGCATTAATGCAGTTATTAGAGAGAGAGAGAGAGAGAGAGAGAGAGAGAGAGAGAGAGAGAGAGAGAGAGAGAGAGATTAAGTGTGTGTGTGAATCACCTGAGTCTGTGTGTCTTTGAATAGTGTTCATCAGCAGCGTCTCTAATAGTGAAACTGTAAGTTGATCTGCTTCAAGAACAGCGCCGTTATTCCCTCGCTAGTGAGAAATTTCATGTAGCTTTTAAGTTGCTAAACTATTTTACTGATAAACTCATCAGAGCGGCGCTGACGACTGGTTTCGTGCGAGTGTGTGTCCGTACTGTGTGTGTGTGTGTGTGTGTGTGTGTGTGTGTGCGTTTGATTGTGAGAGAGAGAGAGTAGCCATGTACTTTAACTACTAAATGCATAATACGTAATAAAATGTAATTTTGTGTTAAAAAACATGAATAATTTGTTTTTATCCTATTGTTTACTATATGCATCTGCTTGGTCAGTGTCGTTGTGGGTTTTTTGCTATTTTGCTGTAAAACCTCTGAAATAACTGAAATCATTTGGTGTAGTGATATGGAACTGTAATGTGGTCAAAACCTGCCGGAACTACTTTAGCCATGCGTTTCCCTGAAAATAACTGCACCTTAGACTGTTCGTCAGCCAATCAGATTCAAGCATTCAACAGCCCTGTAGTATAATATGACTTAACTGACCTGAATAACATGCCAAACAAAGTCAGTTTAAAAGAAACGGTCACATTAGGAAAATTCTGACGAAAATTTGCTAAAAGGGTCAATTGTCCATTGTCAATATTATAGTGACATATAAAGCACCGCTCACACAAAAGTCACCAATTTGAGGGAAATCTGCATACGAAACTTACGCCCTCATGACAATCCCGATAGCGTGGATTCCTATCGAAATGACTATATTTCGCACTTTAAGGGTCGAACAGGTAGAAATAGATCCGTCAGTTAACTGTATGACTTTACTTTTAGTGTTTATTGACATAACAGATATTTATCAGCAACGTTTCAACCACAAAACATGAAGATTAGACGTTAGACGCGGTGTTTGTTTAGGAAACTGGAGTGCTTTCTGTCACGATCGGAAGCCTATTGGAGAATACATTTGACAACAAGTCATTTTTTTGTTTACATATGATATGACAAGAATGACAAAAACATTTTTTGATGGTTGACGTTTGGTTAACTGTGCAGGCGTTGGCAAAACAAACCTTGACTAATCACGCCCCAAATTTGGCTTAGGCCTATATATAAATTACATTATAATATCCTTTAAAATGTTGACCCTCTGAAAGTCGTTGTATAATTTAGATACATTGGGAATTGCTCTTAGAGCCATGAACAGAAGTATATCACCCGTGAAAAACATAATGAGGTTAATGGAGTCCATATTTAGAGTGAGCTGAGTTTATGATCAGAGAAGCATTAACTCACTGAACCCTCAGATCTGAGAGGACTTTTACCTGAAGAACATCTCAAATGAGTCACCACATCAACAGACATCTAACATTGCTTGAGAGAAAACTGTAAAATTGCTTATTAATATCGGTTGCACTTACAGAAATTAGGATTTTTAGCTCCGGTGTGGATCTGAGACTCTATAAATTCCCCGTCTCTCTGTTGCAGTGGAGAGAAATGCTGACTCAAGGCCTGTAAACTTTAATCCTGGCATAGGTATCCACCACACACACACACACACACACACTCTTACACACACACTCTCTCTCTCTCTCTCTCTCTCTCTCTCTCTCTCTCTCTCTCTCTCTCTCTCTCTCTCTCTCTCTCTCTCTCTCTCTCTCTCTCTCTCTCTCTCTCTCACATACACACACAATAATGCAACAATCAATATTTCAAAGTCACATGGTTGAGAAGCGAGTGGTGTTTAATTATCACAGAAATAAATATGGTTATTTTGGATTTTTTTTTATCATATTTTATGCATAAATGTCTTTAGGTTAATTCATCACAATGGAAATAGAAGGATAAGTCAAAGCACATTGCGTTGTGCTAAAACATGTAAACATAATATCCTCCTGAGTCCTGGGCTATCTGATCATGAACTGCATTTCCCATTGCCTGGACTTGTGTTTGATTACTTACACCTGTTTCTCATTATCTTGTCCATACCTGCCTATTTAAGCCCTGTGTTTGCACTCATTCTTAAGTCTTGTAAGTGTCCACTGCATTTCTGAGCGCTCTCACTCTGGTTTTTGCCTGGCTTTCCTGTTTGCTTGTGTTTTCTGCCCTGTGTTTTGACTTATTGCATGTTTTATGGATTGATTACCCTAATAAAAGCTGCTAGCCATGCGTTTGGATCCTCAACCCGTGTTTCACAGCAATTTGTGACATATACAGTCACATTATTCAGTTGAATAATTTAAATATTGAATATTGCAATGCAATGTGCTTGGAAGTAGCATTCATCCGAAAATTGAATGACAAATTAGCAGATTAAAGTAGATACTCCATGCATGCAGAACATTCACACACACATGCACAGTACAGGCTACATGCTGCGTACCGTATGAGAGGTATTAATATGCCATCGCAAACAAACCAATTGACAAACAGAAATGAGTTAATATTCCAAGTTACCAACATTTATCACAAAAAAAAAAAAAACATGAGTGTTATCTGGTTTATTTCAGTTTATTGTCACCATTTACATGAACATTAGAGAGCTGCACGGCGATAAAACGGCCATAAACACCACGTTCAGCTCCAGTTACCACAAAAAAATATATTCAGAACTAATTTGTCTTCATTTTGAGTCTTGGAATAATTCTGCTGTTTAACCTGACCCGTCATAAAGTAGCATTACGTGCCAGAGGAAGCTTTATTCAGTCCCAGGACACAGTCTCTCTCTCAATGTGAGTGTTTATTTCAGTTAAAGACAGTGATTTAGCTGGCCGCCGTTTAATCACCAGCTCATGCATTAATTAATCTGTTAATGGACGTCATTAATCTCTCTCTGGGGCTTTCAACATCTGTTTATTTACATACCCGTCTGGATCAGATCTCGCCTCTTCTAAACAGAAGAGAATAAGGCCAATGTGTGTCTAATGGAGCTCTTATCTTGTTTTGTCTCAGATGTTTCTCCTAAAAATAAAAACAAAATGAGTCAGAAGGGTCATACAGCAAGAGTATAGAGCGATAAGATGAATGTGAATAGCAGTTCAGATCAGAAAAGTGTTTGAGTTCGTATTGAGATCTCCAAAGTTTGAGGAATCAGTTTGAGAAATAACTGAGATCTGTTATCTAAAGGAGACACATGTGAGTTTGGGTTCTTCTCTATATCAGTGTTTCTGAACTCCTGAAACGCCTCCATTGTAGTCTTGAGTTTTCTCCGGGAACGAACACGTCACAACATTCCTCATTTAAATAATTAATATGCAGAATAAAGGGGCGGGGCCTGGTTGAGTTAGTTAGTAGTGTGTTGAAACTGATGTATATGAAAAGGGGCGGGACATTTCCCAAACACACTCAAAGCGCTCGACCAATCACAACACACTGATCCAGCCGACCAATCAGAGCACAGTGTGCTTTTCAGAAGGAGGAGCTTCATAGAGACAGGAACTAAACAGAGCGTTACTGACAGACTGGGAAGAGAGG